AAAGTCTTTTGCAGCTGTACTGTGTTCTTAGCACTGGACAGTTTTATAGCTCGGCCCAGGAAAGACAAGGAAAAGAATTATGATAGAGGCTGAGATCTTTTTCTGTGCAGTTAAGCCGATGGTCCATCGAACCCACTGTAAAACTGCTGCTGTTGTTGTGCAGTTACACTGAGTCTCATGCTGATTTCAGTAGAACAGAGGAAGGCACTTTATGAAAAAAATGAAGCCAGGCGGGAAAAACGCGCTTCACAATTGATAAGACAGAAACCGGCTGTGCCGGTGAAACCTCGGCCACCGCTTCCTCCACGTTGTCTACAAAATGTAAGTTTTTTTAGAGCTTGTAATTTACGCAGTTGTTTTTTTTTCCTCCCGTTTTTGCAAAATATCCATATAAATGCAAAAATGCATATTATCAAGGAATTGTCTGTGTATTCGAAGGCGAATGAAATTTGTCACCCACTTTCATCTCAGCAATCGGAAGAACCTCGGAGCTAAAATTTTAGAGCATTCTTCTGCGTCACACGCCGCCCTCCCGTTTTAAAAGCAGCGTTTACGTGTCCCTAAGTTTCACATACGGACGACGCCTTAAAAAAGGCATGTAGATTTTTTGGCGGAAAAAAACCCAAGAAGTTAGGACAGGAAGCTGAAACTTTGCAAGCATGTCCACCATTCATATGCAGTTTGAGGATTTCAAATTCCGCTATCATGCACATTTACATAACGCCTACGAACACGCCAAATTTCGTCTTCGTTCGGTGTACCAATTCGAGAACTAGCAGGAAAAAGATGGCTGTAATTTTGTGAAAATATTTATCGCCCATGTGGGGACTCGTATGCCTGAATTAAGTTTTGTCTGCGCATGCCTTACATGTTGGGGCACGAAGTGGCGATTTCGGGGACCGGACAAGCAAGGAAGCTACGGTTTTACAAAGATGTTTCACGCCTGTGTACAAGTTGAAGGTTTTAAAGTCAGCTTTGAGGCACGCCTAATTCTTGCATTATGTGCAAGTAAAGTTCATCTACGCTTTTCGTCCAGTAGATTGCTCGATGTTACAGCTGGAGAACTGTGTGGTCTTAGCTTAAGGCGACTTTTCCATATGGGCGTATACGATCGCATTTCCAGAATTACTGCTGCTGAAAACACTAACATTCGCCGCTACACGCATGCCTGCGATAGCAATTACACATGCTGTTGTGAGATTCTTTGTGATGAATTGGTGCACTCCTCCGCACTGATTCGTACTTCGTCCCCGATGTTTTGTTTACGCGCAGGAAAGAAATTATGTGTCATTAGCTGTAGAGTTTGTCGCATACAATGTGTAGGCCAGACTGAACGGACTGTACAGGCTTACGCAAATGAACTTGCGGAAATCCATAGAGTCCGCCTGCTTCCTGTGCAGGAGTCCTAGTACCCAGCTCAACTTCTTTCATTACATTAATGACATCCCTGTCGTCAACTGCCCCAACATTGCTAAAATTCGGGTACCATTTATGGGCCAGTCCTGCAGCTCGGGATTACTTACTCTGGACAAAGGGCTTGTTTTCTGAACCGCGAGATTACGTATCAAGATGATAGATGTATGTCAAACATATGCACTAAGGTTGCGGATTACCCGTTCGTAGCGAATCATAGAGGTACCTAGACCGTGGAGTGGACCATATGATGCAAAAAAGTGTTATTCTGTCCGAGCTTCTCCATTATGCACGCATATATACTTTTCCGGAGGGATTCCTGATCTAGTCTACCGCCTGTCCTCTCTGTCGACACCCAAATCATCACTCGGATCCTCATCGTTCCTTCCTCCCCCACCTCCCGTCCTGCTCCCCTCTGTTATTACAACCCCATCTAGTGCGCTCATCCCCAGTATGCGTTACTGTATAGGTTTTACATATATTGTCTAGTTCGCGCAGTTTCAGCGTATTTTCTGTCACAGGTATCGAACATGTTGCCAGCAGCAGCTCCCAGTGGCGACCCAAATGCTAAGGATGAGGTTGAGCTTGCATCTCCCCTCACGCCTAATGACAGGTAACGTGCTTCTGAAGTTATTTCCATTTCGCTGCTTGTTCTCGGATCTTATATATTTCTATCCTCAGCCTGTGCGCTTCATCTGCTACCTTGGCAGATGCCGCACGTGGATCGATGATGCCCATGTAATTGAGTGAAACCTGGGCATCTGAGACTGAGAGCAGTTTTGGGTTGTGGCTTTTTTCTGTACTTTCTACAGTGTCTCTTCCCATTCCTCCTGAACTGTGCTGTAGTTAGCAGAAATGACCAGAAGTTCAAATTGCGCATTTTGAAAATTGAGTGACTAATTTACCCGTGCCCCGAACGGTAACTCTCCGAGTTTGTTGGTGGTCAGTTTCTTTCGTCGTTCAAGGATGTGCTTGGATTTTCGTCGCTGTTATGCAGTATTTTAAGCGGCAGCCGCCCGTCATGTTTGGACTCGAGCGATGCTTGCGCAGAGACTCCGAGACATACGACCAAAGTGCTGGCCGCTTACTACGATTCCTTAATAAGGGGTGAGCAGCAGTCAAGAGATCTTCCATCGTTTCTCCGTTCACCAAATGGCGCTGGCAGCTCACCGTTTGTCCGGCAGCACGGGTAAGCTTTTAAGTGTCAAGTGTACTGCGTTGTGCGGGAAGTGACTATGGTCCAGGCATTCAATTTGTTTTGCCCATGCAGTGAGTGTCGAAATGTGAAGAATCTCATCATCTAAACGCTACAGTTCGCGGCGCTCGTCTTCGATTATCTCCGATTGTTCGTGGATCGATGTGCATGCTTTAACCACTCCTATGTCAAGTGATGTTGAATCGTCCAGTTCGGAGCATACTTCTTATGGCGATTTGGTTGAAGGCTTCCGTGAAAAAGTGCAGTTTGCTGAAAAAGCTGTCGGAGATGGTGAAAAAATACTGTAAGATTTTGTTCATTTCATTCTAAAACATTATAAAATGTCATTTCTCGTATTTTTTGCCAAAAACCGTTCATGTCTTTTTTCTGTGCTTCCATGACAATTTTGAAGAAGTGCCCTTTAAACATTGAAGTTGGGCCTCGTTGTTCTTTAAAGAGGCATCTACGCAAGAAATTTCTTATGGCTCTTGAGTGTTCTTTTATTTCTATGCACTGCTACAGCTGCACAAAACGCACACTGTCTTGACCCTGTCTCTGTGTGAATGCATGTATGTGTTTGCGTGAGTGTATGTGCATATATGTTCAAGGTGCTTTTTGTCCAAAATTTTCGGCTTCGGAAAAGCTAAAAAGAAAAGCTAAAAAGCTGATATTTCAGAGGATGTTCCATGCCAGTGTACAATCTCGAAAATTTGTCTTCAGCTTCCACGCGCGTCTAGGTCTCATGTGTGAATGTGTGAAGTTTTTGCCGGGTATTAGCTAGCTTGACAATTAGAAAAGCCAGAAAGCTGAAATCTTAAGCCAGTGTCCCATACCTGTGCGCGACTGCGTAAGTTTAATTTCAGCTTCTACCTACGTCTAGTTGCCATGTACGGACACTTGTAGTATTGTCAGAAAATATTCCAACTTCGGAACCAGATAAGATAGAAAGCTGAAATTTCCAGGTAATATTCCTTGCCCGTATCCGTCTCCGAAAATTTTAGATCCACCACATTTTTCCAAAACGATATACGTTTGGATCTTATGTGCAGACATATGAAAGTTTTGACTCATCAGAACATTCCGACAGTTTCTACACAAACAGTAACACTACGGACATTTTTAACAGTAAGCGTTCGATGGCAAAAAATGCATGATCGTGTTCGCTGCACTGGTATGCGCAGCTACTTATTTACAATAATTGTCGAACAAGTGCACACTTTCACTCGCCTGGTTTTACTGCCTGCCCTGGAAGGAGCAGAAAGGCATTTGAAGATTGATCGAGCTCCAGCATTCCAACAAGTAAGTTCCGAAACTACGCACGTTGAAATGGGATGCACGTAGATAGAAATGTATGTAATAGTTCGCACTGTTTTTGACTTCGTGAAAGATTCTCACCTCGGCCAGGGTTTTTTTTTTGTTCGAGATTTTCTCTTCATTGTAAAATTGGTAAAGATTTCGTTTACACTGCAGAGTGGTGTTGCGAAAAACACATTCTATGAAAGCTGTGTATGCGGCAGAATTTTCAAATAAAGCCAAAATTATAAACATGTAAACAGTGCTTTTGAAATCATCTGCGAGTGCATTATTTGTTAAATCTGTGCGATTTAGAAGAGGTGAATTAAAGCTTTTCAAAGTGGTAGGCCTGTATAGCATGACTGCTGTCCGGAGCTCTTTGAAAACTTTTTTGGAAGCTTTGAAAAAAAGTGAATTTTTGCAGGGCCTTCAATACAGCAGTGTTGAACTGCACGAATGCTAATTTGAGATCAAACAGATTGGGGCCAAAGACGAAATCCGGCAGACAAGTCAGTCAGTTTGTCCTTCCTCTGTAAAAATAAAGAAAGGTGCTTAAATGCAAGCCCAATTTTCGCTTCGAGCACTTTCGCGCAATTTAAGGATAGTAATCAATTGAGTTTTTGTTTGTTGAGCAGGTGGTATGTGTTTCAGAAAAATGGTGTTAACAGTGAGCCATTGCTCGTGGATGATTGTTGTGCGGAATGCTTAAGGCCAAAAAGCGCTCCTTTCTGCAGAACAAATTCAGAGTGTGGGAAGAGGACGCCGATTGCTGCTGAAGGCTCATTCGATGAGCCGCTTTCAGAAATTGTCTACTGCACTGGCTGTCCTGATGAGGTTTTGCACTGTCTCTCAGATCTACGTCTTTTTTACTTGCACTTATACGAGTTGTTTTTCTGCACGAGCATATGCTGATAAATGCATGTAGAGCTGCCGGATGCAATCTGAAATGGTTTTATAAAAAGGCGCCACCGAAAAAAGTGTGATACTGGGTTTATTGCCATAAACTGCGTTTGATAAAGATCGTTATATTTTCGTTTGCAGTAGCACCGTCTATTTCAGGATTTGCGGCTCAGAAGGCTTCACTATGCGGCATTCGAAATATACACTGTCGAAAAAAAATTCGTTGCACAACTGGAACTGATTGCTGTGGTGAGCATTTGTATGCTCGTC